ATTGCTAATACAGCAATTAATTTTCCTTTTGTAATTCTATGTAACCCATAGCAATGTCTGACATTCCCACGGTAACCAGCACCGTAAATATTTTTAAAAGCTGCACATATCACAACACGCTTGATCAGGAGCTGATTTCCCAAGTCAGTGCTGTCAGGTAAGTATTAAAGAGAGTATTAAAGAGATGGCCTGCCAAGTCATGACTGAGCTACAGAAATGACTGTTTACCTGTTGAGACCTCTCACTACAAGAAGCTGAAAAGTGTTTGAAATACCTGAGTATTTCAAGTGCAGTTAAAAAAAACAAGGCAAGTAAAGTGCTCAATCCTCTTTATTTATTGCCACTCTATCAGCGCAGTTTGGTTTGACGCTGTGGAAATGACTGTCATGGTACAGAGGGGAAGAAAGAAAAGTGTCTACAGGCCAACCCACAGACCTATTAATTGATTTGCATTGCTAGACTTTGATTTAGGAAAAGCAGCACTTAACTTGTATTTACCACAAATATCTACATCTGTGGGAACAAACAAGTGGGATCCTACACACAATCCAATTCATTCTGACTTTTCTGAAACATCCTAGCAGCTCTGTGAGGGCTGGAATCAGAAGAGCCACCTATTTGCCTGTTAAGGAACATTGTTCCATGGGAGTCTGCACAGAGCTTCAGAGAAACTCTGTTTTGCTTGCACCTGACTAATGCTGGTAGAGTGGATTTTATGCTATAATCACAGACTCTGATGAAGAACAGATCTAGTATATTTGTCTCCCACAGAAAGCCAGCAGTGCTGCCTGCAGGATTCTTCTTGCCTCCAGTGTGACATCTTCTAATTACAGAAATGAAGGATATCCTATTAGAAAAGTATGCACTACTTTGAACAATTTCAAGTTTACCGAGGATCTTTGTCAGCAGAAAAGTGTTACAGGCCAACTTCCTACTTCTCATGATCACTACCCTCAAACTGCCAGTTCATTTCCTACGCTCAGCTGGTGATGTCAGCATTTGGTCTCATCATGCTTTTAATGCCTTAACAGCTTTGGTCAGATTGCTGTAAAATCCAGCTATGTTAGCTGGAAAGAAAGAATCCACGACAGTCTGGGGAAGATAGCCACCAAGATCGGTCTGAAAGAAACTGAGGAGCTGGGTCCTGTCTGGTTCCCTGAAAGACAATGCAAATGATTTTATAGCCAGAGGTATTAAGGACTTTACAATGACTCTCATATATGAACTATGTGATGATAGATATTTCTAAGTTAGTTTTTTTTAAACAAACAACAGACATTAATTTTAAATTTCTATAAATGTGTGTGTCAAATTACAATTAAGCTAGGCCCTATTGAGTACGTGATTCTGTTTACAAATTATGGCATTGTAACAAACAGCTAGATACACATTTACCAAAATTAAGACCATAACCTATGCTCTGCTGAATCTCCATTTAAGAGGTCAGCAAGAATTGTGACAACAGTTCTTGTAACATTCAGAACTTCTCTCAAAGAAGAGAACTCACAGCATAAAAGAGAACAGAATAGGCACTCAGTCATAACAATTACATGTCACAGGAAGATAGAAACATGTCATTGCCAAGGAACTACACATTGCAGATAGCCACATACACACAAACACACTGCACAATGGGTAAGAAAGGGTTCAAAATACAGTGGTCAAATAGATCTCTTCTTACCCTGGAATTGGTATGCAGAAGCAGCCACAGGGATAATTATACCCTCTCACAAAATTTGCTTGAGGGGGACACAGTGGGTGTTCCACATTGGTAGCTATAAGAAAAAGCATTCAGGAATTATGTCATTTACACAGGAGATGGGAAAGAGTCCTTTGTACTCAAAGCAGCAGCTGAGAAGCACATTCACTCTAAGAAAACATATTTGAAAAGAATAAGCAGCATAACGCTCCTATTATTGGGCTGCATCATACAAGCACAGAAACTACCATTGAAGTAGAAACTGCTGGGGCTGTTGACCTGAGAAATCAAAGAAGTGTTACATTCAGAAGTAACTGTTGCTGAGCTCTGAACCAAGCATCAGGACGCCCTGAGAGAGTGTTCATGAAACTGCACCGCCTAAGTGCATTGCTGATCTCTGGGTTTCAACCAAGTTGCTTCCAACAAATCCATAGCACAGAGGTATAGACCACTTCACTGCTAAGAAGGAGCACTCCAGGAGCAATACTCCAGGAATTAGAATTTCTGGCTAACCATTCCTGAATGGCAGGGGAAAATTGGGCAGCTGAGCGAAGAAGCAATAAAAGCAGTGATTTGCAGCAGGCAAACAATTGCGTGAAGATGGAAAAAAAAAAAACAAACCTACAAAAGAATATGACTTATGCCTAAGAACAATGCAAAGAGACCACAAATATTTTATCCTTTAATCAAGATTACAACACAAACATAAGCATCTTACCAGCAGATAGCATCGTCCCATCCTCATACTGCCTCATTAAGATCACATCCACAAATTCTCTTGGTGAAATAATCTTCATGAAAGCTGAAGGGGTTGTAGTTCTGCATACAGAGACAGCCTGGAAATTACAAAGGACTTTACATCAGTTGATGTTTCCAAAAGTACAGCATAAATATCCCTGTGCTTTCTTGTACTCTTTCAGTTACACTTGATGAACTTATGAAGGAGTTATATTACACTGTTCACTGAAAAAAAAAAAAGAAAAAGAAAAAGAAAATCAGCACAGGCAAAAGGCACCATGGTATGCTAATTAAATTATTTAATGAAGGAAAACACACCAATGTTGCATTGATCCCAGGTTGTTTAAGGAAAGATGCCACAAAAGATGCTGAAAAGCAGATCTGGCACACATGTGCTCAGTGGACAATTAAAACACTACTCTTTTTCAGGATTTTCATGAAGATACCTTCTCTGTAACATGTCGCTTAAGAAAGCAACTTGATACCCAGATTCTGTGCTGCAGAAACCTTCATATTTCCAGTAACTAAAAGAGGGGAAATTTAGATTAGATGTTAGGATGAAATTCTTTACTCAGAGAGCAGCGATGGCTGGGCGCAGCTGCCCAGAGCTGTGGGTGCCCCATCCCTGGAGCAGTTCCAGGCCAAGTTGGATGGGGCCGTGGGCAGCCTGAGCTGGTGGGGGCACACTGCCCATGGCAGGGGGGTGGAGCTGGGTGGGTTGTAAGGTCACTTCTGACCGAAGCCACTCCATGATTCTCTAAACATCTGTGAGGGAACAGGAAAGACTGCTAACAGAGATTCAGCTTGCCTCAATTTGCAGCGGTAACACTGTAGTGCAATACCTTCAGCGATATAAGTTTACTTATCTTTAAAATACATCGTATTTAGCCCAAAACATAAAGCTGTCTTTCAGAAAGACAGCCCTTCAAGAGAACAGATACAATCTACTCCCATAACGGTACGGAGAGGCACGGATCCCCCATCCCAGCACACCGCAGCCCTTTCCCCGCAAGCGACGTCGGCTGTTTCGTAAGCGGCACAAACAGGAACGCCGAGTCCCCAAACCCACGCTCAGCACTCACATCGCTGACGGCCTCCACCACCTCGAAGTCCTTCACGTTCTGGTCCCACTGGGTCCTGAGCCCTCCGGCCACCGGCTTGATGCACTCCCAGACCTGCTGCGGGCGGGCGGCCACGGTGCCCTCGGCGCGGTACCTGAGGCGAGGCGAAACGAAACCGAACGCGCTGCCGCTCCCGCCTCGCCCCGACCCCGCTTCCTTCCGCTAAGCTCACTTACACGTTGCCGGCGAACTCGGCGGACGGCCTCCAGGACACCGCGACCTCGTTCTGCAGGCAGGGAGAGCCGTCAGCCGCCCCGCCGGTCTGACCGCCCCACGGCCCCGACCGCCCCGCATCCCCCGACGCTCACCGTGCGGCGGCAGCTCCGCCAGCCGTCCGCGTCCCGCCGGTACAGCCCCATCTTGTCGGCCGCCGACTCGGCGAGCCCCGCGTAGTCCATGGTCAGGGAGGGCGGGGCAGCCGCTCGCACAACGCCTATGAGGCTCCGCGCTGCACCGCCCCCGTGGGCCGATGGCGGCACCTCCCCCTCACCTGAGGGCTGCGACATCCCGGCGTGGCGCGGCGGAGGGTTAACTGCATGGACTTCCAGCCTCCATAGGCAACGAGTAGGAGACCTGGGATAGAAAGGATCGGAACACGGCTCTGCCGAAAAAGGCTTGGCGGTGCTTCTGGATGGCAGCTGGGCGTAAGCCAGCGACATGCCCTAGCAGTCCGGAAAGCCAAGCGTGTCCTGGGCTGCATCCAAAGCACCGCTGTCAGCTTGGCGAGGGAGAGGATTTGCCCCTCCGTTCTGCAGTGTGAGATCTCACCTGGAGTACCGTGTTCAGATCTGAAGTTCTTAGTAGAGAAGAGACGTGAACCTGCCAGAGCACATCAAGAGGAGAGCCACAGAAATGACCCAAAGCATGGAACACAGACTGAGATCTGGGGCTGTGCAGCCCGGGTTGTGGGGAGACCTGAGAGCGGCCTCTCAGAACCTAAGGGGGCTGTAAGAAAGAGGGGACACTCTTTAGCAGTGTCTGTTGTGATAAAACAATGGGAAATGGTTTCTGACTAAAAGAGGGGAGATTTAGACTGGACATAAAGAAGAAGTTTTTTTATAATAAGGGCAGTGAGGCACTGGCACAGGTTGCCCAGAGAGGTGCTGGGTTCCCCATCCCTACAGACACTGCAGGTCAGGCTGGATGGGGCTCTGAGCACCTGATCAGCTGTAGGTGTCCCTGTTCAGTGCGGGGCAGTGGGACCAGATGGCCTTGAAGGGTCCCTTCCAACTCAATTCTTTGATTCCGTACTTCAGGGAGCAGTTCTGTGCTTGTAGGATGGTGGTTACCTGCTGCATGGATTCAGTGGGAGCATGTTTCTGCAATCACATCAGAGAGCCTTGTCTGATGTACTTCTATACAGGTTTAATTCAAGTGCTCCAAGTACACTGCTTTTGATTTTCCAATAGTTTTTTGGTTTTTTTTTTTGTTTGTTTGTTTTTTGTTTTTTGTTTTTTTTAAACAGCATAACATGTAATAAAGGAGAATGATGTCAAAGCAAGGTACAGTTAACAGTGAAACACAGGACTAATTATGCTTTTCCCACCTTGAATGGCCGACTGTGGTAGTTATTCTAATAGACCTTAAACAGGAAATACAATGACTGCACAAACCTGTGCACAAACCTGTTCTAAACACAAAAAGTTGGGGCACTTTCTCAGACATTTGAGCATACCAGTTCATTAGGCTCAGACATATTTAGTTCAGTATTGTTTTTTGATTTCTTTTTGGTGAGTTTTGTCCCAGGTTTCAGGTACTTTTCCTTGCTATGAATGACCTGGATGTATTGGTCATTGCTGCTGTTCTGTGGATCACTGCTCGATTCAATGGAAACTGAATCAGATTCTGTTAGAGACTGCTCCAGTATATGCTTCATTTTAGGTTTCACATGCGGCTCAAGATAGTGCTGATCAACATTTTTCAGGTGCACTTTTTTGTAGGCATATGGAGGTCTGTCCAGGTCTAGCTCAAAACCATCATCCCAGGATTTGTAATGCACTTTGGCTAGGTCTTTGCTTGTAAGAACATGGCCATCAGCACGCTCCCCAATATAAAATCGCGGTGCTGGGCGAAGGTCAGACAGTGACCGAGGGCGATGGGATCTTTTCATATAGCGTCTCCCAAGTTCCTCTTCATCCTCCTCATCTTCACTGGGATGAGGAGAATACATGCGTTGTGGTGTTTGAACCACATATCTTCTGATATTGTGCGGATACAACTCAACAATATCTTCTGGCTCTTCTATTCGGAATTGCCTTTGGAGTCGGGAGGTAGAACGGCCTGATTTTTTACGGGGTTCACTTTCATTAACAACATAGTATCTGGTAGCATGTGGTCTGCGTCCCACAAAAACAGGAGCCCCCGCTCCAAAAGCATCTGGATTTACCTGCCGAATGCTTTTCCTAAAGAGAGGCTCAGAGTGAACATCTTCGGTACGTTTTTTGAAAGTCACTGGTGTATAGGCCTTTGTTTTACAGAGCTCACTTGCACTCCCATGCACAACACTTGGGTACCTTTAGGAAAAAAATAAAAAAAAAGGGAAGAAAATGTTAGGAGATATGCTTACCAGTATAATTAAAACGGAAGATATTCGGAGTGTTACCGGCATTCTGAATAGTATCTACAAATGATTCTGCTTTTAAAAAATTCCCCAAGCTGTTGTACAAAACCAGTCTTGCCTGCTAGCGGTATGGTCGTTTCTTGCTTTCTGTACACTTGATACTGAGGGCGTTAAAGAAGCTGAAGTTGTGGGAGTTGCATTCACAGGTCTTGCTGCATCACTCGAGGGCACGGTGTGGGGCACAGTCTGGGAGATGGTTTGTATTCTGGTGCCTTTGCTCACAGGAGATTCAAAGTTCAAGACACTGCCATTCTTCCGTGGGGTTGAGGCCCGAACAGAAGACTCCTGGCTAATAAGACCACCGTCTTGGTCTGGTCTTTTGTCACTCCCATCCAGATTCTGGAATCTGGCTAGAAAACAGAATTTATCACAGGAACTCTCCAAGCCTCTAAATTTAGAAGTTGTGTAAATGCACTGGCTCAAATTTACCCAAAGGTCAGAGAATTTAATGTAGTTTCTCATGTCTAAAATCTGAGAGGTAAAAGGTGTAGGCACAAATCCCCTCAGGCACAGTAGATGATTAAGTCTGAAATCTCTTCAATGCAGATGAGATGTTTAACTTAGAGAGGTCAAAGGAGCCATTCCCTTTTCCCCTCTTCTACTTACTACCCTCTGAATTTTGAGTAAAATCTGACATGATTTAATCATCAGGAATGTCTACCAGGTTCTGTCCTGTGGGTGGTAAAAGCAAGAAAATACCCAGCACAGAGATCTCAGTGAAAACTACATGCCTTGGCTTTCAGTACTACCAAGATTAAGTCAAGCTGGGCTTAAAAACCATCTAAAAGTATGACTACACAGGAAACATGTGTTTTGTTTTGTTTTTAATACAGTTGAACCTCCCTATGTGTATGAGAAATAAAAATATCTTCACGTCCAAATCCCTTATTAATAGTGGAATTTCCTAAGCACAACAACTTACCTACTGCCATTTGCACCACCTTTTTCTTATCTTCAGTTCTTTCCTAAAACACATTCAGGAGAGTGAGAAGGTTATTTTGGATTAGAAAGTAAATCCAGTACTGCATACAGATAACAAAGGCAGGATGGATTTACATTGTGAAATATTGAAAATGACATTAGTTAGGCTAGCACTTCCTTGAAAACCCACGAATTTGTATGTGAAAGTACTTTGAGCTGTACTTACTGCTTGTATCTTCATTCTCAGCTGATTGTTGGTGAATTTCAATGATCTTGCAATACTTTGTAGGTAATAGATCAGCATGCTAGAAGTGAAAGAGGTGATTATGAGTCACATTAAACACTCTTGACTGTTTTCTCTTTAAAGGTTTATGAGTCATCAAAATGGCAAAGTCAGTCCTTGTGTTCCAGCATTTCCTTTATACTGTGATAATGGATCATAACTTTCTTTCAGGCAAGCATATATGAAAGTTTGACAAATAAGTGATATTGAAAACAGATTTAACTACAGGTTGAATTGTGCCTGTGCTTTTTGCAAGTCTTTTTATTATGCATGTAGCCCTGTGTGCATTTCTAGCTTATTCTGTTTCAGTTCCAGACACACTCAAAATGAAAATTGTGATAGATGCTTTCTCCCCCCCACTTTTTTTTCTTTTCTTTTTTTTTTTTTTTTTCACCCCAAGGTTACTGAACTACAGCTAAATTGTAAGCTCATTCCACTGTCATTTTGTTGGCTGGCTGGAATAACACCTTCTTACATTAACACTGACCCAGCTGACATCAGATCTAGCCTGACAATGGCTTTCAAATGAAACAGACTTATGGCTGAACTAGATAACATAAACATTTATGTAGGTACTCAGTCATCAGTTTGAAGCAGTCAGTAAATTTTTGTGCATTTCTAAATACGACAGAGGAAAAAGATACAAATAGTAAATACTGCTTTAGGTCCTTTCAATTAATCTAAAAACCAAGCTGGTAAAACAAACTGCGCTCATCTATTTATGGAGAAAAAATGATAGAAAGGCACCTGCAAAGCAAATGATTCTTTACAGAAGCAAAGTGAATTTCCAACAGCTCAAAGTAAATATTAATTCCCAGCTGTGAACAATTATTTAGAGTCTGGCATAAGAAAGGACTTCCACTGGATAGTCTGCAGGAAGCTGTATTACATTAACACTTAAGAGCAGACCTTCGTAACTGATTTATCTTGTCAGGGATCAGTGTGACTGAGTAGCTTCTTTCAATGATAGCCTGTGAACAGAGTTCAGTCTAAGCAGAACTAATCTCCCTGAGGAAATGGAAAATTATCTTCTGAGGTGCTGTTGAGTGGGAAGAAGGATCTTAAAACTTCCTGGAGCCAAGAGCATTGTAAGCTTTAACACAACAGAATGGACTTCCTTTAACACAGGGTCCAACTTCCTTTAGCACAGAAGCAGCTTTTTGAAAATAGGGTGATGGTTATTTTCAACATATTCTCATTCCCATCCGATGCTTATAGCATACATTCAGTAAGGTTGTTTTTTTCTTTGTATATGCTTAATAATGTTACTGTTCCTCAGTATCAACATGAGACTGTCTAGAGATGAAGTTAGTATTAACACAGTGGAGTTAAATTTGCTATGAGAAACAAAGTACTTACAATAGAAGTAAGAGCGCAGGGAGGACCACCACAGGACTGCTGATGTAAGTAACCACTGAGTTGAACCACACAGGAAAATCATTTTTAATTGTTTCAGAAACAATATCATATATTTTGTCTTGTCCACTACAGGGAAAGAAAAAATAAAATTAAATCGTAAAAAAATCCTTGGTGTGTCCACTTTTTAAGCAGCGTTGCACTGAATAATAATAAAAAAATTAATCTAAGACCACTTATATACAGTGTACTGAAGGAAAAAAAAAAAAAAAAAAGGCAAAAACAAAAGCTAAAGGCTACTTGTTCATTACTTACATTTTAAACAAATTTGCAAGAGTGCAAAAGCGCTGACCAGGCTTGAAGGGTACCAATATGTGATAAATTTCTTGATGGCACACTGCATCATTTAAATATGAACTAGTGGAACCATGTATATAATGCAAAACACGTAACCTCATTTAGGATGATGAGGTATTCAACTAATTAATTCTTAAACTGGAAAACATGGGCAGCACGAAAGCATTGCCCCATCCAAAAACTACTATTTATTGATAATTTGGGTATTGTTGAACCTGATTAACTAATTGAGGGTGAAATAAAATCATTGCCATTTTCATTAGTCCGTTATAACTTACCTGAAAGGACCACAGGTTAAAGATGGCTTGTATCGGGCAATAGCAAAAATTGTTGGTAACATGCACAAAAACAACATGAACAGCAACATGGCCAAGTAGAAATTATTGGATCTGCAAGAAGGCATAAATGTTTCAGATTACCCTAATCAGGGAGAAAAGCAGAAGCAACATGAAAGATGCAAGTCTTCATCTACCTAACAAGTTCAAGATTACGTTTCCGAAAGATCAAAATCATTCTGTTCCGATTAAAAAGTCTGAACAGAGCCACTTTAAATAGACCCTTAATGGTCACAATTTTATTTGTACTGCTTTCCAGATACTGCTGCTACAGTCAGAGAACTGTTTATAGCACTGTTCTATAAAACCTCGCTTGACTGTCCAGATTTGTTGGGGAAAATAAGAAAAAAGCAGAATTTGATTCATCTTCAAAACATATTAGAAATAACTGATTCCTAAGATGTAAAGATGCCCTAAATTATTTCAGTTTGAAAAAATAGTTCATCCTGATAGTATAAAAAGGGGAAGTTCTATTGTGTGATGCAGCAGATAAAATAGGATACTTAATGGTTTTCATAAAAAGAAACACCAAGATACAGAACTTGCAGCGATTTACACATGGAGCTTATTGCACTTAATCAGATTGGTATGGAAATAAATGATCTCCGTCAGGCCGCATTTCCTGGTCTGGGAATATTCTGTGACATATTATTTAGTTTGATTTCTGTTTATCCCCTAACTTTCACAATAAAAATACTTTTGATGGTACTGCTTGATTTCCTCTGTGAAACGCCAAGTTTGCTACGAGTCCTTCTGCCCTGCATACTGCCATTGAAACTCATACCTTCCCTTTTCGGAGAGAATATCTAGATGTTTTCAGTACAATCACAAACCAGCTTTGGGCAATTCAATCCCACTTGAGTCTCTTTTGTGTGTATCTAAGTACCCTGCTGTAACTCCAAATTCTCCAGTTTCTTGGTAACTAATTTTTTTTCTTCACAGGCCTTTGATATCTGTCCATTTTGATTGTCAATTTTCAGAACTAAAAGCTCCTTTTGTTTTGTTTCTGCACACAGAAGACATTTCCATTGACTGCGGTGCATTTATTCTTTATCTTACATTCTTATTTGGACTAACCGAGAGGCTCTAAAAACCTGCTGATGTGGTACATTGCACGTTAATACAGCCCAGCTCCTCAGGTACATGAGTCCAATCAACTTGAGGACATTGAATGCCGGTAAACAAGGTGAAAAGAAGGCTCCCATCCTGGAAGAACAATGTCATGTCAGTGCTCAGTGTTGCCACAGCAATTTTAACAGCAAAGCATTGCATGAAAAGAATAGGTAAGCAACAAGTCACTAGCAACAGACAAATTCTTAATATAATAAAGTGTAAGAGAATGCACTGGTAGTATCTTGCTGGAATACATTTCATTAAGAACTGTCATACTTTGCAATCAATCAGATCACTTGCGGATTACATACCAGATCATTCCTTGATTGTAGACCAAATGCAGTACATTCTCTGCAATTTTGAATTCACCATATTCTGGCTACAAGAAACAGAGTGTAGGATAAATATTTCACCTTACTCTTACTTTTTTTTCTGGATCACTTATTAGAATCGTTTGGCTTACTCCATTTTCAGACAGCACATGGCCTGAAATGTCTGGATCAAATACCACCTTCTGGCAGACAGTGAGAACCCAGTAAAACCTACTCAGTATCAGGGGATTAGATAAACTAATTCATCTCTAGTTTACTTTGTTTACTTAAGGACAAGGAACAGACTTAGCCTTTCATGCCAACAGCTGCTTGCTAACCAAATACTACAGTAATTTCCTTCCTTCTTGGATCACTGTCTCTATTATGGACAGTTGTTACAGCTAAGAAAGGAAGATATGGGATGCAACATGTTCCCTCTGTTTTTCTAAAGGCCAACAAATTACTCATCATTTTCTATGGGATTGTTCCATAATCTCATTCTGGGAAAGACAAAAGTCTGTGCACCACAGCCATGGGAGTAGGCCTGAGAAAAATACCCCATCTCAGCATTTATCCTGTACTCTCCAAATAAAACTCAGTGCGAGTTGTGCCTTTATAGATTGTGCTATGTAGAAATAGGTAAATACTATCAAAAGGCTTTCAGAACATCCAGTACTATGGGAAGGAGCCCACCCATCACCAGCATCTTTGTTTCATAAAATAAAAGCCTGTACTTACAAACTTGCTTTCTAGGTCCCAGCACCAGCAATCACTTAAATATCGGACACACAGTCCACGGAAAAAATCAATTAGCAGGATGCTCGCAACTGTGAATATCATGTCAATGATTGACAGCTTTAGCATCTCCTGTAAAACATATTATTCCAACATATTGAGTCATTCTGGAAACAAACTGCTTTGCATACAGCTCTTTTGCATTTATACTTGCATTTCATATTTTGGATCATGCTCAGTACTCTGATGAAGCATGATTTTATACAAAGTTTCCTTATATGCATTTCCTGTTTGACTTTACCCTTGTCTTTGCTCTAATGTAAAGAACAAACATAATTAGACTTCCAGTGTGCCTTCTACAGTTTGCAGCAATAAAACTCTGGGCATGGTGGTCTCAACCTTTGTAATGAGCCTACTGAATATTTATCTAGATAGACAGGATGCAGCTATTTTCTCTATTGTACCCAATCCTTTGTCGTACTGACTCTTGAAATAGACACTTAATAAGTCCTTCACAAGGAGAAATGCTTGTTGTTCACCAAAAACCACAGCCCAATGACAGTAGGGTCACCAAGCCACAACAGAAGTCTGTTTAGTGCTTACAAATTAATGGGGTTGCTCCTTAATTAGTTGAGCCTTGAAAATATACAATTAAGTAGAAAAGATTATCTAAAAATAAAAACAAAGATCTCTAACCCATTCTGTAAAAGAAGAAAAGAAAGAATAGTTCAAAAAAATACCTGATGCCTGTGGAATAGGGAGGGCAGCAGGCAGAACAGAAGTCAGCCTAATAGACCTAGGAGGAAATTTGGCTCCTGATGATCAAACAAGACCTTTGATATTGCTCACTCTGGAACAATGAACTAAGCAAGCCAGAAATGTGCTAGCATCATTTTTCGTTTAGTGGCCTGGGCGCTGGATGAGTGCAGCACTGACAGTGACCAAAGTACATCAGGATCAAATGACAACCTTTGTAATACGCATCCCATTAAAATGCAATCTATCTGCATCACTCATCAGTAGAGATCTGCCTGTGCAGAAGACAGAGACTGAAGGCTGGCTAAGGACACTTGTACAACACTAAGCACATTGTATATACTGAACAACAAACAAAGCTCTTGTGTGGCCATATCAATCTGTGCAATCTTCCCTCTTTCTATACAGCCCTTAGCTAAATTTCTGGAATTTACACCAAGAAAACCTCTAAAACTGAACACAGTATGACATGGTTTTAACTTCTGGTGAAAGAGGAATTAGGAATAAATAGATTCAATAATATAACAGTGACATACTTGACCAACGTAGGTCTCCCAGCACTGATTCTGCGCAGAGCTAGAGGAAGCTGTGTTGTTAACCAGTGAATCAGAGGTTGGCAAGCTTTGAGCGTGAGATTTGTTGCTGTTCATTTGTGCATCAGAAATAGTTGCAGATAAATTGCCTTCTTTAGGAGGAGTTCCAGTTGCAAAAGAGGGGATAGAATTACTTGAATTGCTGTTAACCTGAAAAAACAAATGTCTTGAAAACTGCATTTTCACCTGTACTTTTTCTCTCTTTCTTTACACCTGCATACATGCAAAAGCCTCATGCCTTCAACAAGGCATATGTACACATGAAAACACTTCACATGTTTTCAAGCAGCAATTAGGTGACTTTATAGTAGCTGCCAAAGCACAAATGCAGTTGGAAATTTTTTTAGAACAGTGATAGAAGCTGATTTTAGGTCCAGTACCTCCAAATACCTAAAACGCTGACATTTAAGTAATTGAGGAATGCACGTAAATATATTATTTATTTCTCTACACGTCAGCAATCAAATGGATCCAGTTATCCAAACGACTACAAGTATTCATAAGTGAACATTACAAAATAAATGTCACAATCCTTTCAAATTGTAGTATGCTGTAATGCTTGGATTTCACACTAATTTTCACCTGAGTTGAAATATACTACGGATGGAATTCTTTCTGTTGTAAAGTCGACTCATTTTGCACATTAGCAAACATTAAACTTACACTGTCACTCATACTGTTCACTTTATCCAGGAGAGCAATGATCAAACTGTAGAGATTTCCCAGATAGAGAACAAGAACTCTGAAAACAGTAAGACATAGGTTATCGACATCCCATGAACTTGTAATATATTCTCCTGTCTGGTAGAAATAAAACACCAGCAGAACTTTCTTCTTCCTCCCTTGTTCTTCACATTCTTTCTACACTGTATCATGTCCATACCTTGCAAGCTGAAAGCGAAGAGTGGTCCTTGGATGGTACATCTCTAGAGCTGCCACGAGTTCAAAAGCAGAGGGTGCAATCATGGTAATCAGTGACACAACTACGCTTACCTACAGAACAGAAAGGCACAGCGCTGTTGTAGCCTCGCATGCTGATATCCTATGGTGCCTTTACTGCTGATTGGAGTATTGCTGATGCACGTGCTTTTGTGACTGCTTTTCTTGGAGAATATACTTTGAAAAATTATCATTGGCATTAGTAATAACTGCAGTTGGGACCCAAGATTGAAGACCTGACATATCACTCAGGAATCTTTGCTGTAGATAATTATATTCTAGCTTTAAAGCTATTAGCTTATGAATATCAAAATTCACCACGTTGGAAATACAAAGAAAGTATCGTCCTCTGAAATGGATGAATTGTTCTCTGTACACATTTTCTTCCTATTCTCAGCATCCACTCCTTCCTCTGAATAAAAATATTCACAGAACATGCAGTATTCTTCAGCTGACATCAATAGCCATTGTCAAAGCTGATTCCTTTCTAACAGCTCTTCCTAGCTCTTCAGCTCAGTGTTCACTCAGCTCAATCATGGGCAGAAAAGAGACTTCAAACTTTGTCTTCATGAAATAAGAGCCAACTAGAACTGCAGTCTCAGAGCAGCTTGCTGCCCACGCCAGCTCTGCTGACACCTTGGTGCAGACAAAAGGAGCAGGCGTGCAGAGCTCCAGGTAAGCACAGCTCAGCACTCCCACTGCTCATTTCTCCCGGCTCATCGCTTGCAGTTTACACCTCAGTGCACACTATCACTACTGAGAGCCCTGAGACAACAATCCTGCTTCTAACACAGCGGTGACAAATATGGTGTACCTCATTTTTTTCCCAAAGGGTCAGTTCCCTCTTCTTGCTCTCTAACTTTTGGGATCGATCCACGACAAAGTAAATGATGTAAATACTTCCAGTGAGTGAGAGAAGCACGAGGATGTTTGCAATAATTCTTAAACTGATTGTCACTGCCCTGAAAAACAAAAATCACCCAGCCAATATAGCAGGCTGCCTTATTACACCAGGGCTCTTTTCTAACATGGCTTTTATAGGCATGAAACAATCACAGAGCCCTGCTGCCTGCACTGAAGCAGTGCTTTGGAAAGTGCCTCCAATCTTACATACATACAGGTTTTTGCTTTTCTTCTTTTCCTGCTCTTCCAATATAGCTTCCTTGAAAGAAAAAAATATATATTAAATAGCATTCTGCCAAAATGATGCTAATCTTTCATAGAAGGCATCAAGTAAAATAATAAAAAACTTTCCAATGTTGATGCAGCCAGGTACTCCCCTGGACCATTTATTATGGAGAGATTAAATGTATCCATGCTTTTACATCATTAACGTAATTTTTATTCTGTTCAGTGAAACTGCATCACAAGCAAATTTGTTTTTATTTTTTTAGCTTTTTATCACACATATGGTGGCAATAAACAGAACACAACAGGGACAGAAGAGTTGTATTAACATAGGGATAGAAGAGACTTATGAAATGGAGTGGCAGTGTCAGCAAGTGCAATGTGACTGCAGTACCACAGGGAGGTGTGATATCCTCCCCCAGGCAAATGTATCCACCGGTGAATGCCAGGAAACAAAAAAGAGCAAAAAGAAATGAGAGGAAAGGCCTATTTAATTTCAAAATAGCCAGAAAAATAATTTGTAGAGGGGCAGATTACCCGAATGCTGTTAACTATGGCAGCCGCTTTGCTCTCTGCAGCCTCAGGGTTTCCTATTAAATAATCCCAGGCACAGAACAGCCTCCAACAGAAAGTGTAGTTTTCATCGGAAGCACTTGCTAAACTCATTCTTGAGTTCTTCGCCATTCTGTGAATAGAAAAACAAAAAATGATTGAAGCTGGTGTGTGAAAACGTATCTCAAATCACTGGGATGGTTCATAGTTTTCAGTTTCTTTTTAGACGTGCAAATAGTTTGTGGCAATCAGTGTAATTGCTGGCAATTTTATGATGAAAATAAAGTGGGGTGAGGTTCTGAGAATGAACTCGATGTTTGCTCTTGTGCAGAAGAGACTCACTGATTGCATTTTTCATACCTGACAAATTAAGCATGTATATCTCACTACAGATGTGAACATTTTTAAGATCACCAGCTAGGGTTCAGCTAGAAGATACTATCGCTATTACTGTATGAACTGATACTGATACAGAAAAACTAGTGATCATGCAAAAGCCGTGTTTTGTTTTCTGTTTATTTTCATCCTCAAAAATTATGTTATTGTTAAATAGAAACCTAGTGATGTTTTACAGACCCTGGGAAAAAGGAAAAAAAAAACCCACCTAGTCGGCTCAGGCAAAAGGGCAGAATGTTGCAAAGTCTAAGAAATGAAATGAAGATTAATAGCTTATGAAAGGAAGGGCAGCCAAATGGACAATGTTATATGGGGAACAGTAACCAGGCAGGCAAGAAGTCAGTGGGCTAAATCAAAAAGAGAAAAGCTAATCGCATCCTGAAACTGCAGATGTGTAAATCAGCATCAAGAACACCAGTGACCCTCAGATCAAGCTGGAAGGCAGAATAAAAATGGATGGAAAGAGAAGGATTGGTTTTGAAATGTAGTTATTACAAACAACACTAAAAATTGCATTAGACTGCACTATGCCAAGTAGACATCCAGAAGGGAAGGGAAAGTGAACCAAGAGGACAGAGCGACCTCACTCCCTCTCGGCACTGCACATTCCTGGATTTTATGGCCAGCACTTGCAGTCTTGCTCTCTCCTACCTCCTGGCTTTCAAACAGCACAGGAATTAAGCTTAATATGAATGGGATGCTACCTATCAGCTGAAACAATGCAAAGGCTATATTGCTCCTATGACACAATTTTTGTATTAGTATTTCAGTAGGTGAGAATAGTAATGCTGAAAAGCATTATACTTAAAATCGATGTTTCTGTCAGAACAATATACTAGAAACAAGCATAAGAAACTTGCACCTCATGCTGTACAAATACAAACCACATGTTACCCTCCTTTTATGGAGTGAGAAACTGAAGGGAGAACCAAGATAAACATCAGCAAGACAAAGAGCAAGCTAGAATTGAACTCCATCTGCATTCCCACCATTAGCAGATGCAAACAGGTTAACAGAACCGTGCAGAATAAATGCAGAGGAAATGGGATAAGTGTGCCATTAACATCTGCCTGAACATGCAAGCTTACGGATAGCCATAAGTGAGAAATATTACTTTTTTAAGAGGATGATGAAGCTGTAAGCAAACACTGCCATGCCAACCAGGAAGTAGGCGAGAGGCAGCCGGTATCCTGCTTTCCCAATCTTCCTTTCTCTGCCATAGTAGCCATAAAACAAAACGGAGTACTGGAGGTAGCCCTGCAGAGACCAGAGTCTGTAAGTAAGAGTGGTAACAAATAGGTACAACCAAACAGCAGTAACAGAACAATAAAGAGTGGTTTTAGCCTTGCCCCAAGTGACCAGATGGTGTCCAGGTCTTGTGCAGTTTTCATGTCTTCTGGGCGAATGGTTTTGCTGACAGTGCTGCCGAACGGTGCACCAGCCAGTAGCTGGGGAGAGGAGAAAAGAGGTCTCTGACATTGCATCAACCTGTCTGACCCACAAAGGGTCATTCCTTCTCCTAAGCTAGAAACTAAGCATTTTAAAGCTGACTGTCCATTTTAAGTATTTTTAAGTTACATATGACAGTGTTTCATCTCATTATTTTTTTTAATTAAGTCTACTCACAAAAATGAAGTAAGAAACTGAATACCTTCATCACTTCAATTTGCTCACTTTTTCATTTGGTGGCTTTTTGCATTTTGGCTTAGCCAACAAGAAGAAAAATCAGATATTTACATGTTTTGATGTAAGCATGTAAGCACAGATGTAATGTTCTGATGTAATCTGAAGCACAGATTGAGGTAAAATCCTATCTATGAATTATCTCACAAAGTTAATATATAGCCTAAAATTGCATGCAAGATCTAAACAAAATAATGGCTGTTCAAACTTCTAGAAAATAATTTCTAATGAACAACAATTTGTCTGGAGGGAGATGTTACTTTTTTTTCCTGCCTATAAATCACATTTGTAAGACCTAAGCATATTCAATACCAACTGTAGCTTTTAGGATTTGGTTCTCCATTTTAGTAATCGGATACAAACATATTCTATAAAAGCATTAGTACTATGTTGACAAAATATAATCTCTAACACTAATAGCAAAATTATCCTTTGGCAGAAAAATGTAGAACCCTCTTAATAATGGTGTTTATTTTAATAATTCATTTGAAACTGTGCATTTCAAATTGATGTACGCCTTTAAGTGTGGCATTTGTTTAATTCAGAAAGGAAAGCACAACGGGTAAGCAAGCATGTTTCTGTAAATATTAGCAACGTGTTCTTACCTCTGGTAAGACTACAAATGCTCCTGTCATTATGGTAAGTACAATATTGATTCCAAATAGCCATCTAAGGAAGATGAAGTAAGAGGCAACTCCAGACCCAAAATGACCTTAAACCATAGAAAAAAGTTATCTGAGCAGCACAGTCTATAATAGCTCCCACTGTTTATTCATTAAGTATTACCTGAAATCTAAGCAAAAGAAAAACCTGCCTCATCGATGCAGTGTGAACAGCGAGGTAGAGAAAACATCAACGTGTCAATGAGGAAAATATGATTATGCCCAAAGCTCTGCTGGATGAATCTGTAATTACCAGCAGTATTTACTCAAGAAGCCGCTGCACTGGGTGATGTAATGCAGCAATTCCATTTGCTGCGGAAGCACAGCAGCACAACCTAAGTGCTGATGTGATGTTCAGGGCTGCCTTGATTTAATCTAGGACTGCTGAGGTGCCTTCACACGGCTTGGTCCTGGGCTTGACCCATGGATGCTGGACCACAGACTGTGATGAACTATAACCAAAGCTGCAATGGACAAGGCAAATTTCTTATTTCTATATTTGCTAATTTTTTGGTTACACCACACTAAGATCATCAATGAGATCTGTGCAGTGCCTAAGGCATCAGGAGGAGTAAAAAAAGTGAAGCTCTACATCAAAGTCATACTGTGGGTGGAAGGTCGCGTTTAACACTTCCTCCCAAATACTGTTTGATTCAGTAAATCCAAACATGAACCTTAAGACCCAGCATTTCATCAAACGCTTTACAGTTCCATCCTGTTAAATCCTTATACTTACTCTCAATTTTTTTAATTCGCATTTCCCAAGGAATAAAGAGCACCACAAAATTATATGCCAGTCGAAGAAACTTCCTCCAAAGCTGTGGGAGAAAAAAAGCAGAGAAGAAAAGAAAGGTGATAACTTTGTATGGAGAGGAAAAAAAAAAAAGGAAAATAAAGAAATGCATCAGTGTCTCTCATCTGGTATTGCAAGAAATACTAGCAGTGTTCTTTATCATCATCTCAGACCATGTCTGTGGGGTGGAGATGGGCATGGTGAGATTTAGAAATGCACACGATGTGGGAGGGCTCCTTAGCTTCCGTTTTCATTAATAATATTATGAAGGGGTTTTCCTGTTACACTCTTTAATTTGTGCTTAAAGAAATAATATAGTTACCCTACACATAATGAGTGGTCCTGATTAACTTCTGAATTATATCCCTTGCAGAATATCTTCAAGCAAAAACACACAGTAGAGACAATTAGATTAGATACAGACTCTAGGATGAAAGCCTTGATTTTGTCATAGGAAGAGGAATATGAACAAGAACGAAACCCAGTGTCTGATTACCAATGCAGACTCTTAGCAACGCAGCCCCTTAGCACACTCCTCTTCCTGGTTGACATCCTAGTTCCACTGAAGTCCAAGACATAAAACAGTATTTATGTTTACAGCATCCTACTTCCACTGCATTTTCTACACACAAGGGCAGAACAAGGAAAGATGACAGTTATGCATGTGGCCTCTCATTTGTTCAGATGAATAAAATGCATGGTGTTCTGTTTTACCATTATAACCCTGACTTCTAGAATTGAAATACATTGCACTGTGAAAAGTCTACTCATTGTGATGACACAAATGTTATTGACTGCTTAGATGACCAAAGAACTCTTCTCTGTTGGTTGCATATTAGGAACAGTTTCCTGCATGTTATTAGTTTCTAGTAATCAGGGCCAGAGTCTATTTTCAATTGTGTAAATAGATTTGCTAAGATTAGATTCAAATTCTTCGAATATGATGCAAGCAAAATTCTTCAACAATGTATTTACAACAAGCTATTGCAGGATTGTCTTCCAAACTAAAAGCTAGACACATTTTTCATGCTCAGCTATTGAACTGTGGCCCCATGGTCTGCTGAAATTGCTCTTCAGAGAATACTAACATCATATTGTTAGCATCCCATTCCCATCACCCTCTCTGGCAGACATCAATATCCGTATGATTTGAGAAGGACGATTCTAATGTGTTAACACAAGGAGATTTATCCCTCACACATCAAATTAGCCTGAGAAATTGTAATGACTAAATTCACAATTAAAAAAAAAAAAAAAAAAAAGCCAAAAAACAAGTTCTTATCTACTTCTTCCTCAGTAGAGCTCTCAAGTTGGAAATCAGAATGACATAGAAAACATACGTATCTGTGAATAAAAACTTTAGACAACTTTTAGTATGAAGAAGAGATATAATTTAAGAAAAAGCAGACATACCTCCGCACCAGCAGCCTGGTAACCTCTGGTTCTAGTGAGCCTCCCTTCGTACTTCAGCACAATCTCCTTTGCCTGTCTGCACAAGAAGGTGGAATTTTGCTTGACATTGAGCCCAGTGCTCTGAGCCTTTAGTTCTGCACAAGCAGCAAACAGCTTCAGCAGAATGCTCTGAAACACTGCCATGGATTAGGTTTCCCTATGAAATCCTTAAGCAGGCAAAGCTTTTTTCCTATTGAAGATTTACTGTCACATTAAAAACACTGAGAGCTCTGCCTGAGAAAACTTGACATTCAAAACTTTTATTGCAAGAAGGGTTGTCTGTTCATTTATTTCTTTTTCCTCTCTGTCCTTTTAACCCAATATGGCACAACCAAAATGCCTAAAATAAGATTGTCATTAAAGTGTGGTTCGTTTTATGTGGATACGAAAGAATTGCTCTTGCAAGATTCCAAGAGGTGCGTATTCATCTGATCCTACAGTCAGATCCTACTGCTGCTCATACAGTCTTTAACCTCAGCAGCAGTTGGATGGGGACCACTGGAAACTCATAGACACAGAAGTTGTGGGGCAGCAGGAAGGCAGAGAGTCACAGACTGTGTAACTGAGGAAAATCATAGAATGGCTTGGGTTGCAAGGGACCTCAAATGTCATCGAGCTCCCCCCCCTGCCATGGGCTGGGTCCCCCACCAGCTCAGCTGCCCAACATCCCATCCAACCTGGCCTTGGGCACCTCCAGGGATGGGGCACCCACAGCGCTCTGGGCAGCTGTGCCAGTGCCCCTCCACCCTCAAAATCTCTTTGCTTCCAAGATTAAACAAGGACTCTGCTGGGATTTCCTCAGGACTGTAATGCTACCCTCGCATCAGATGGCTTTTAAGAAAAAGATGCCACATGAAGAGGAAGAAAATAACGTGATCCCAAGCATATAATGATGTGAAAGACATGACAGAATTTAGTCCAAATGTTGGGCACGCACCCTTTGCACTGTTTGGTGTTGTTACCTGAGCGCCCGCAGCTTCTGCCTCATCGGCCACGGCCTGCAACGTATGTTGGACATGACCTCCTTCTGGTACTGGATGTTCTGGAAGACTTGCTCTGGGTCGTGGCTGTTAGCCTTCTCTTCACTGATATCCTCATCTGAATTGCTGAACACCCCGCAAGAGGAAAAACAAGACAAATTATTCCCACCTAGATCCCCATCATCTGTTGGTTTGTGCAGTATCCAGTTTATAAGAACCACCTAACAGCAATAAGGGAACTCACAGAACCCTGTTGTTTCAAAGTTGATAAATAATCTGGATGACTTCCACATTGATGGGATGTGTCTCTTCCTCCCTACCTCTTGCTGCTCACTAACTCATCCATGCTCCCCAGCTGAATTCTAGTCTTTCCTCTGAGTGTTTCCAGCTTGTACATCATGCTAACAAGATCTTCCACATATTTTTCTGGAACAAAGTGCCATCTAAACTTTTCCATCAGAAGTACTTAAAATTCATTTACTTTCCATGCACTCTCAGCCTTTATCTTTGATTTTAATAGTGATAAAATATTTCCTTGTTAAAACAGAGAGGGAACAAAGGCTTAGCACATTCTGACCCTTTGCTCCTGTTCTTTGCTGATGGGGATGGAAGCACAAGACCACAGTGCACCAGGAATTAAATTGTAAAAATTACACGTGCTCTGATGTAGATTTCTATGGATGATTATTAAATCTTCTGATGCTGGCACCACATTCACTTAGCTGCAGCTCTCTCGTCCCGTTTGAAACAGGGAATTTCATGTGAGAGCAGCGTGAACAGAACCGAACACCTCCAACATCAACCAGCTAGCAAGTTTTCCAACTGCATCTCTGAGTCTTCATTGGGAAAATTCTCTGCAATTTTGCTGAAAAAGCAACATCTTTGAATCACTTGGAAATAAGTCAGAACCTCACTATTGCCCTGTAAAAACATTTGAAGGATGCACTTGGCCAGACTGTGTATCCATCAATCCACATTCTGGCTCTACCCTCGGCCACTGTGGACATTCAAGGAAAATGCATAATACATATGAAAGGTATGGAGATTTCCTATTCTGCTATTCTGTGGAATTACAGTGAAGGTGCTTATGGTGCAGCAGGGAGTATGACTGGTAGAAAGGGAAAAAGAAAACAGCTTTAAAATCCATCTAAATATAGAGAGAAGAGTGATTCTTCTTTTTCATGTTACTGCACTCTAAATAAAAGACAGACAAAATCTCTCTTTTCTGCTCGATAAGGAAGATCTGCACTTCAGGAGAGAGGAGGATCCCTACCTGTGGGGCGGCTCCTGGTAGGTGTAGATGTTGGTGTGCCGCTTCACCATCCGAGACTTCTTGCTGGACTTTGCAGGCTTTGCTGCTGCTGCAGCAGCGCCCGGTGCTGCTTCCATGGTGGCAGCTGCCCCAGCACCAGGTGGGACTCTGCCACGCTAGGAGGAAGCCTTGAGCCCCTGGCTGGGCGTCTGTGAAGCAGCCAAGTGGTACAGAGCAGAGAGCAGTGAGCAGTCCAGAGCCCCGAAGCAGAAGATCTCGCCCTGTGCTGCAGCAGTGGCAGGACCTGAGCCTGGAAGTGCGTGCATGCCTTAAAGTGGCAGTGCACAGCAGCTCCCGCCAGGCTGCTTCCAAGGAAGCTTCCCAGGAGCAAGGAAGGGAACTGAATCCAAGGGCTTGCCAGCTGCAGTCCTTACTGCAGAGCCAAGTTTCCCTTGTAACATGATGGGATCCCTCCAAATGCCATCCTTCCACTGGGCTTACCCACTCTGGGTGATGTTTCCACTGACATCATTGCTTCATATGTTCGAGCAAGTGTTCCTGCTGACATAAAGCAAGAATTGTTTGTATTTTGGTCTTTGATAACAGAGAAAATGTGACAGCAGTTTCCGGCAGGGCTTCAGGCTCTTTTCTGAAGGACAGACCCCGCACAACAGGGCCGCCTCTCAGCATGACCTGCATTCACCATATCTGGATTTAAGAATTCTCTTTTGAAGGGATCAAAATACCAGCCCTTCAGACAAGCTCACACGACCAAGAAATTCACTTTTTGTCAACATCTGCAGCACCTTAAATAAGCTCAATCTCATTACTTACTGCATAATTTTTCAACATTTACTTTAAGGATGAGTTTACAGAGAGCATTCACTTATTCCTAACTTGGAATTTGTTTCCCTTCATATTTCTGTGCACAATGTGGCAAGATTTTCAGTTACATAAATCAGCAATGTGTTGTAGCTCACTTTTATTTGCAGCCTTTCACAAGAAAGAACATTAAGTTCTCTCTGCTAAATTGCACAGGCTGCTTTTTTTTCCTTCTGCCTTGAGATAATCGAAAATATTGCTACTTGCTGAAAACTCTTACTTTTCCACTGTTATGGTTCTGTCTGTTGTACTCTATGTATTTAGTTCAATAACTCAGCAGCAACTCAGTAGTCACAAGCCTTATTACTATGTAGGTAACTCTTGGACCAGAAAGAATGAGGCTTGTGAAGCCCAGAGCCCAGGTGTATCTTGTCCGAAGCCTTGCCAGAAACCTGGGACAAAGCAGAACAGCCTCAGAACAGTAAAGAAATGCCGTGTCCAGAATTCAGTGAAACCAGGCAGCTGTGCTCTGCACTACCCTTTTCATTCCTTCTTTTTGTTACATGCACATGGCATGTAACACAGCAAAAACCATTGGTAGAAACATCACTTAGCCATGTTCTATTTACAATATAGCTTTTTCCATGAATTGACCTTGTTGATCCCAACTGCGTTCTGAACATCTTCTGTACAAACTGCCCTTAGACACAACAAAGACTCCGGTAATCAGCTTCCCAAGAAAAACAGAACGTAATAATTTTAATTTTTCTGCGCTGCATGTTATTATTTTTCATAGTAATCTGTAGAACAAAGGCCGTTAAACTGATAAGCCAGAGCTCTATCTGTGTATACTTAAATTCACTAGCTTTTGGAATGGTCTTCGCTGTTTGGCTTCAAATCCACAGGACAGAAGAAACACCATAATGTCCTTTCTCCGTGTCAGAGCATCCATCAAGTGAAAGCAAGCAGCCAAAAGGGGCGTCTACCAGCCCCGATTCATATCTCCATTAAAGGGCTAATCACTTCTTTCCATCTGGAAAAACAAATAGGGGAACAAAGCCAGAATTTTCTCAGTCTGAAAAGCCCTTTAAAGCTCTGATATTCAGGCAGTGCTGCAAACACACCCACTTCACCACTGTTTTGAACCTGCTGCAAGATATGCTTTCAGCTTTATAATTTAAAAACAATAAAATGTTAGTTCAAATTATTTCCTTAGTTGTAGTTAGTTATTTGCCTTTGCATTATGGCCAATGGCACAGAACTGGGAGCAAGATTCTGTTGCTGTGCTCAAGAGAATAAGTGAATAACTCTCTATTCAGGCCAGCCTGCTCAAGTCCATTAGTTTGGTGCTTATTCCGGTTATGTCTACTCATTGCTCTCATTTAGAAAATTGATTTTTTTTCTATAGATGCATCATTTCAAGCAATGAGAAGTGGCAATGGCTCTTTGTCACCCTGTATCATACAGAAATACTATTCTGGGCCAGACAAGCAGAGCATCTAACAAATCTGTCCACCTTTCCACCTTTCAAGCTGACTGTGTTAAACCCAACTGTTTCTGCCTCTGCTTCACTGTTCCTACTTCCCAGCAGACCGTGGGCTTCCAATGCAGTACTTTTCATCCGAAGGAGCCACGGAGTAAAATTTAACTTCATTTGTAGTTCCCTGTGATTACACAGGTCACAGAGAAAGCAGCGTCCTTTTATGTGATGATGGTACAGCACCAAAAACATTAAAATGCCAACATTCACAATTTATATGGATTTCAATTAGCTGAGATATCTTAACACGTCAACAGGGAATATATTAATTTACTTTCTCTTTATAAGAAGAAAGCCTAAAATCTTAAAATAAGACAACAATTCAAGCCTGACGTTTATACGACTCTAATAGTGCCAGTGCTAGAATCTCATCTATCATGTGAAGTTACTACCAAACACTAAAAGCACAGTGAGCAGCCAGAGACTCATGAATTCAGAGCCCATCTGACAGAAGGATGCACAGGATTAACAGAAAATAGAAAGCAGGCTCCAGGACCTGATCTCTGAAGTTGGTGGCACATCCTCCATGGCCCATATCCCTCACAATAGCTGCTCTCTAAGGAAGGAAGGATTCGCTCAGATCTGCAGCAGGGCTTTAGGTTTGCTTTTCAGCTCAGCAGACAGTCCAGCAGCCACGACACACAGCTGCCTGTACCAATATGCTCTGCTGAATCCTTAAACATACTGGGGTTTGTTTACTCCGAATGAATACTACAGTGGTTATAAATTAGACTTCAATTGCCATTAAGTGGATGCAAAACAGGACAATAACCTTTTACTGCAAGATGTATAATAGCAGCTATCTGTGTGTAATAGGAAGTCTCATGTTTGATGCATAGGGCCATTTTGCATTTTCAAGCAGTTAGCCACAAAAAAAAAAAAAAACCAAAAACACAACCCAAGCTGGTAAACGACAAACATTGAAAATTCAAGCAAACAAGCTTTTTGTGCTTGTTCACTCCTTTAGAGATTCACTGTAGACTTCCCATCTTTCCACCACTATAATTTAATTTGGACCTTTTCAACATTTCCCCCCTTGGGAAATTCAACTCCTAATACTAAAGTGAAAATTCAAAAGTTACGAATGTTTTCAGTTACCTCTGTAAGAAGAGAGTACTGTCCATTGGACAGGACAAGAGGTTTCATGTTGGGCCAGAAAAGGTTTACTTCACCTGTTTAGCCCCTAAACATATTTAGAGTTGAGCAGATGGATTAGAACAGATGGGATTTCAAGGGTAACAATGCCAAAAATATTTTCTTCACTTACTGGGAGAAAATTGTTCTACTGGACTGTACCAAATCAGTGCCTCCCCATGAGTTTGTTTGCACAGCTTTATTTCCTACAGTAGGTTTACTATTCAGCTCCTGCTAGTAGCCCTGGCTGACATGTATCTGTATCATTCCTGGATGAAGGGGAATACTCTCACTGTGGTTCAATTTTCTTGTGAATGCACATGCCACATAAAAAAATCTCTCATTTAAAAAGCTTCCTGTGTACTTAACTGCTCTTACATCATCATAATAGGACTATTTTTATTCATTGGGTGATCAGGCATGACTTCTAAAATATACATTTTGGTGACAGTACAAACCACAGCAGCGTAAATCAAATTCAAGAAACTGTCAAGAACAAAATCAGGCAAATGCTTACATGTGTATTTTACAGCCTAAGAATGGCTGAGGACAGAGGGATCAGCCACACTCAGGACCCATGGTAGGGTAAAGCACAACCCATCAGCTTTTACAGCCAATGCAAGAGATGCACGTGGTCTGCAGCACAGCCCCTCTCTGCCTGGCACTGCACCTCTAACTTACAGCTTTCTACTTTCAAGTAGCAAAAAAGTCAGTCACTAGGAACTAAGAAAACTTACTTTTCAGGTGCAGTAGAATGCAGCAATTCCTTCGATGAGGGAATCTGTACTTTGTGCAGCTTTGTCTAACCAGGAGTATGACGTGCATCCTACAGACATATTCATTTCACCAGAGACCTTTCTGAAAGCACTGTAACTAAATTATTTTCCAGGCTTACGTGAGTCATTATAAGCCAGACCTTGGGAGTCACTGAAAATACAGAAGACAATTTTAGAACATTTAAAATAATAATAATAATTAAAAGAAATCACATTTCAGGAGAGAGGAAAAGTAGTTCAAAAAGTAACTGAATAGTCAGGTTGTTGGTTTGGTTTTTTTGTTGTTGTTTTGTTTTGTTTGATTGAGATGAAAACCTTGCATTTGTCCAATTGCTTCTAAAAGTCTTTGGGAAACATATTTTTCCATTAGATTATCTCATTCTGCCCAAGATGAAGACATGAAGAACTGTCAATGTTTGACATGCAGAAATTTTGTTTCAGTTCAATCTGGTTTTCATTGTCCTCTAAACATTAGAATACGGTTTTGCACCATTTCTAACATTCAATTTTGCATTCCTTTGCAATGGGATGAAGCTCTTCCCTTCTTCAAGTAGGGAGACCTGAAACAGAGCAGTTTTTCAGCAAGCACAAGGGCTTTGGAGCACCTTCTCGTGGCCCCTCAGAGATCAGAGCTCACAAAAAAAAAAAAAAAAAAAAAAGAAAAGATGAAATCCAGGTAATTTAAACTTATTGCATAAGGAATGTTATTAATTCTATTGCCAAATCACCTAGAAGGTCATTTTAGATATTCTGTATGTACTAGCAAATGATAATCATCTGCCCAAGGAAAAATCCCAATACAGCACCTCTTCATAATTCTTCTGAGAATCCCATCTCAGCCTCCACCTCTCAGAGTAGCTTTCAGCAGATCAGTTCTTTGATTCAGCCACCATTCAGCAGCACAGTTCTTACTGGGAGTTGCAGGAGAGGTGATGAGAATGAACCAGTA